GAGACTGCTTCTGTGCACGTACCCTCTTGCACTCCTATACCAGGGCCTGTTGATGTGCACGTGCCCTCTTGCACTCCTAAACCGGAGGCTGCCGCTGTGCAAGTGCCCGTCCGCAGTTCTAGACCTCAGAGAGCCAGGAAACCCCTAGACCGGCTGGAGTATTATTAAGGGGGTAGATGTGTTGTGTATGTAAATAGATGAAGAATATTTGCATTCTTTAAAGTCTCATTATTTAAGAATATATGTGTATATAAATTGGACATTTTTTGTTGGCCAAACGAAAAGAATCTGAGGCTCTTTATTGGACACGACAAAAACAAAAACGGCATTCCAGAGTAAAATAAATTATCAGAGATAGATAAATCTTTTTCAAATGAATTAAAATAAATATAATCGATACTGAGAGAGAGTTGAATTTAAAAAAATAGAAAATTATTATTTTCGAAATATAAATATCTGAGAGGATTCCAGCAAACCGCCTCTAAAATATCAGGTTTTTTTTTTTTTTTTTTGCTTTATGTTTTTATTTGCATATACCTATTTTACATATCTCAGATTGTATTAAAAAATCGTTAACCATTTCTTCTAACTTTTGGCGAAATGGTGTTTTATTAATTTATCATTTGATATTATTAGGGTTCTTTCCTGGTATTCAAAAAGTAAAAATACGTGTCGTTCAGTTATATTTTTCAATTTATCAAACAATTTGGCCGCTGAATCGCTGATTCTGTTAGGGTGCCATCTAGAGAATAAAGTTGTAACTAAAATCAATTTCGAATTTTTCATTATTTGCCATAAAAAATCCCATTGCATCCTGAACACAATGGTGTTTACCGCATTGCTCTAGCGCAAATATTCGCGGAGTTATTAATTTTTAAAGTTGTGCGGGACTTTTGGATCACCCTGTATATCTTTTTTTTTTACATTTTTCATTTCTTTTATGCATATATTCATCATTATATAATCATATACATATATAGAACGACATTTAAAAATTATCCCGCATGTGTTTCTTTTGAACGAAAAATCGAAATTTATTTTAAGGAGAAATAACGATTATTTCTAATCTTAGGGATGAAGTATGAAAGGATGAATTGTGATGAGTAATGATAAACGGAAAAATAAAACAGGGTTCCCTTCCCTGGACACTTTTATTTTCCGTTTATCATTACCCTTCACAATTCATCCTTTCATACTTCATCCCTAAGGTTAGAAATAATCGTTATTTCTCCATAAAATAAATTTCGATTTTTCGTTCAAAAGAAACACATGCGGGAAAATTTTCAAATGTCGTTCTACAATCATAAGCCGCATTATATTGTATTATAAATATGCATATATATTTTAACCGTATATAATCATATATAAAAACTCGAAACTATTATAGACGCGTATGATTCTTTTAAAAATTAAACAATTTCTACTGTCCTTAATTTTTAAAAGAATCATACGCGTCTATAATAGTTCCGAATTATCATAACAGATGGCGCACTAATGCATCATAATAATCACACACACATAAAAGCATTTATTAGGGACTTGCCCCATTCAGATTCTCCCAATTGGGTAAGGCAATAATTATCTCGTGTTATTTACATAGAAATTGAACTGGCTTTACTCTTCGTCTCAAAGTCATTCACTTGTTGACTGATCCTTACATAATGATAATCTAAAAAATTATAGTAAGCTATTGCCTTAGATTTATTTTCTGATATTTTTGAAAGCAATACGTAGGGTGAAGTGTTGGTACATTTAATTTATTGATATAGGGCCTTCCTCTCTGTATCAAGGGCTGTACAATTAAGCAGGTAATGGGGGAGTTCTTGAATAATTTCCTTGTCACACAGTGTACATATTAGGTTTTGCATCATGATAATCATATAAAGACGATAAAATAATTTCAATCTCAGTCTCTCTCCATCTGGAACATGTGTTCTCCAGTAACCACGCACTGAATTTTGGTAATTACTTTTCACATGACTCGAAGCTTATAGTAATTTGTAATGGAGCAGTTTGAGATTCTCCAGAAACTTAAAACACCCTATTGTATTCTAAATTATTATATAGAACGCTTCATAATTTTCTTCGAAATATATACAGTTAAACCTGTCTATAGCACCCCCTCTAAATAGCACCTCCCTCTCTATAGCGCCCGATTTTAAATACGTAGCACGATGCGATTTACATTAAAAGTGACCTGTCTATAGCACCCCCTCTAAATAGCGCCTCCCCCTCTATAGCGCCCGATTTTAAATACGTAGTACGATGCGATTAACATTAAAAGTGACCTGTCTATAGCGCCCCCTCTAAATAGCACCTCCCTCTCTATAGCGCCCAGTTTTAAATACGTAGTGCGATGCGATTTACATTAAAAGTTACCTGTCTATAGCACTCCCTCTCTATAGCACCCTAATTTGGTGAGTTCCAAGAGGGGACGCTATAGACAGGTTTTACTCTATTTCCTTTTCATATTTATAAAAAAATAATAATAAAATTTAAAAATGAATCATAAAATCTACGGGATATCTACGGCAAAAGTAATGTTCACAATAAAAAGAAAGATTTCACGGTCAAATGTAAAATTTAAATAGGAAAATGACCCTCCACATCATGTTTGGGACACAACTTGGGGATGGCGTATCATCCCATATATATTCGTATTTACTGAAGTAGTGGGTACATTACGTAACAGTTGGGGGATGGTTAAAAAATGCCGAGTTGGGTAATTTGCCTAGATCGTCTGCAATATTTCATCTTTTTTAACCGACAGCCATCTTTTATTATTGTTATTATTGTTGGGAACTGTTGGTTTCTTTTCTTACCGTCTGATATCTAGAAGGAGGGAGCAGAAATTGTATCTTTTTTATCAAGCTGGCTGTAACTTTTTACTACATTGTGACCTATTAATTTAGTTAAGTTGCCACTATGGATGGGATTATGTAGGCTATTATAGATTATGATTTAATTGAGGTAGATTAATTTACTAAGTTTTTAGTTTAATAGGGATGATAAGGCACAATTTGGATTATCTATATATATAAAATTGAATGTCTGTTTGTTTGTTTGTTTGTACTCTATAGATTCAAAAACCATACATCCAATCACCGTGAAATTTTGGGATATTATTAGGTATATCACCAGGAAGGTTTTTGAAAAATAATTTCATAAATATCTTGAATATTCTTAGAGTTACTTGCAGATTTGTAGATTTAACTCGCAAGCAGCGCCCCCATTGTGACGATGTTAACAAGTTTTCTTATCACTAAGTTTGTTATCTCAAATATTATTTAACAAAAGTAAGATTATCTCAGGATGACACGGCAATGTGACACAGGAAAAAATGTTCACTAGATAAAACTATGATTTTCTATATGATATAAAAAGCCAACAATGAAGAGTGAATGTAATATAAAAAGCCAACAATGAAGAATGAATGTAAGATAAAAAGCCAACAATGAAGAGTGAATGTAATATAAAAAGCCAACAATGAAGAATGAATGTAAGATAAAAAGCCAACAATGAAGAGTGAATGTAAGATAAAAAGCCAACAATGAATAGTAAATGTAATATAAAAAGCCAACAATGAAGAATGAATGTAAGATAAAAAGCCAACAATGAAGAGTAAATATAATATAAAGAGCCAACAATGAAGAATGAATGTAAGATAAAAGCCAACAATGAAGAGTAAATGTAATATAAAAAGCCAACAGAGTGAATGTAAGATAAAAAGCCAACAATGAAGAGTGAATGTAATATAAAAAGCCAACAATGAAGAATGAATGTAAGATAAAAAGCCAACAATGAAGAGTGAATGTAATATAAAAAGCCAACAATGAAGAATGAATGTAAGATAAAAAGCCAACAATGAAGAGTGAATGTAAGATAAAAAGCCAACAATGAAGTGTGAATGTAATATAAAAAGCCAACAATGAAGAATGAATGTAAGATAAAAAGCCAACAATGAAGAGTGAATGTAAGATAAAAAGCCAACAATGAAGAGTAAATGTAATATAAAAAGCCAACAATGAAGAATGAATGTAAGATAAAAAGCCAACAAAGAAGAGTAAATCCTTATATATATATATATAAATGAAATGCGAAATCGATGTTTGTTATCGCATCACGCAAAATCTACTGACTCAATCATTATGGAATTTCGCATGTAGGTAGCTGAAGATTTCGTTTAACATATAGGCTATTCAAAAAACTAAAAAAGTTAATGTGCTTTTTTTTTAAAATAAAAAACCAAAAAGCGTTAGTTCCAGTCTTTTACCGCTAGGGCGCAGCACTGGTCGCGACGATAAATGAATTTGATTTTTTTAAAGCATCGGTGGTTCAGTGGTAGAATGCTCGCCTGCCACGTGGGCGGCCAGGGTTCGATTCCCGGCCGATGCATTTTTTTTAAACAATTTTTAAAACTCATTTATATTATATCTATATTAATGAAATGCACATTTCATAAGTGGTGTTCGCTAAAAACTTTCGTTACAATGCATCAATTTCGACCAAATTTTCAACATTTATGTAAAACGAGATGGAGCAGGTTTTGCTTAACATCAACATATTTTTCCTAACTTTAACATGCGTAACTTCGCTGTTATCGATTAAATACAAAAAATCAACAGAGTTAATTTTATTTATATATAAATACAAAAGAAAATCCAGCAATTCATTCAACTCTATCTAAAAAAATATTCAAAACAAGCAATTTTAAGATAACACCATATGTAAAACAGTCGGCCAAGAAAACAACAACGATATTACATCTTTCTCGCATATTCACACACAATCTTGATTAATAATTAAAACTAATCTTTAACATTGTTTATTATACTTCATAATGTTACGATGAACTAGAGCGCCATCTGTTATCAAATTATAAAACTATTTTAGAGGCGTAATATTCTTTTTAAAATAAAACAATTTCTACTGTCCTTACTGCGATGGAAAAATTAAAGGGAGGGCCTGGCTCATCAGTGGTGAACCCTCCCAGCGGTTTCGCCAGTTTAATCTACCATAGGGGGTCGGTGGAAGGCTGGGTAAACCGTTTGGTTTTCGACCACTAGGACCCGGGTTCGATTCCCGCATTGGGCACTTTTTTCTGTTAAAAAAAAATGCTCCAATGGCCCCCGATTCTTGCAAAAGTCCAACCCCACCAGCGAGTGCAAGTAACCAAACGGGGCTCTGGCATTTGTAAGTGCAAAGTCGAACTGCTTTTCACATGTGTAGACATGTGGTGCGCTTACAGTAAAAGCAGTCGCTAACTACCCACCATGTTTATCATGGCCTGTACCACGTGTACTAGGGATAAGCAAAAAAAAAAAAATCTACCATACCGCTGTTATATTGCTTTTTGGAACTTCCTTTTATAGGTGACTGTTGTAAGACTCTTGGAATGGGTATTTTAGAAGAACTATGGAATTAATTCTGCTGTCCTAAAAGCTTATGTCCATAGTTCTTCTAAAATACCCATTCCAAGAGTCTTACAACAGTCACCTATAAAAGGAAGTTCCAAAAAGCAATATAACAGCGGTATGGTAGATTAAACTGGCGAAACCGCTGGGAAGGTTCACCACTGATGAGCCAGGCCCTCCCTTTAATTTTTCCATCGCAGTAAGGACAATAGAAATTGTTTTATTTTAAAAAGAATATTACGCCTCTAAAATAGTTTTATACTTCATAATATATAATATTCGTTAGGCAAACTTTCACTCGGATAAAACCCGGGCGAAGCCGGGTACACATCCGCTAGTATAATATAAAAAGCCAACAATGAAGAGTGAATGTAAGATAAAAAGCCAACAATGAAGAGTAAATGTAATATAAAAAGCCAACAGAGTGAATGTAAGATAAAAAGCCAACAATGAAGAGTGAATGTAATATAAAAAGCCAGCAATGAAGAATGAATGTAAGATAAAAAGCCAACAATGAAGAGTGAATGTAATATAAAAAGCCAACAATGAAGAATGAATTTAAGATAAAAAGCCAACAATGAAGAGTGAATGTAAGATAAAAAGCCAACAATGAAGAGTAAATGTAATATAAAAAGCCAACAATGAAGAATGAATGTAAGATAAAAAGCCAAGAATGAAGAGTAAATATAATATAAAAAGCCAACAATGAAGAGTGAATGTAAGATAAAAAGCCAACAATGAAGAGTAAATTTAATATAAAAAGCCAACAGAGTGAATATAAGATAAAAAACCAACAATGAAGAGTGAATTTAATATAAAAAGCCAACAATGAAGAATGAATGTAAGTTAAAAAGCCAACAATGAAGAGTAAATCTCTATATTATATATATAAAAGTCAATTTCTGTCTGTCTGTCTGTTTCGCGATAAACTCAAAAACTACTGAACCAATTGGTACCAAATTTTGCATGTGGCTTTTTATAAACCTGAGGAAAATTTTCGGCTGCATTTTGATTAGTATTTTTGGCTATTTCTTTTTTTCATTTGAAGAACTTTTTTTACGCGGACTAATCCGGAATGGAATGAATACCTAAATATGGCCATTTTTTAAAGCATCGGTGGTTCAGTGGTAGAATGCTCGCCTGCCACGCGGGCGGCCCGGGTTCGATTCCCGGCCGATGCATTTTTTTTTTTTACAATTTTTAAAACTCATTTATATTATCTTATATATATAAAATTGAATGTCTGTCTGTCTGTCTGTACTCTATAGATTCAAAAACCATACATCCAATCGCCGTGAAATTTTGGGATATTATTAGGTATATCACCGGGAAGGTTTTTGAAAAATAATTTCATGAATATCTTGAATATCCTTAGAGTTATTTGCAGATTTGTAGATTTAACTCGCAAGCAGCGCCCCCATTGTGACGATGATAACAAGTTTTCTTATCACTAAGTTTGATATCTTAAATATTATTTATCAAAAGTAAGATTATCTCAGGATGACACGGCAATTTATTTGCGACAAGAATAATGATACAATTACAAGGCGAAGATACAATTCCTTAACTTCCAATTACCGAGGGAACCAATTAATATTGATTTTATTCAACTTATCGAGTATTTCTCAAGGGACCGGGAAAAAATGTTCACTAGATAAAACTATGATTTTCTAATGTAGAAAATTAGGAAAGACAAAATTCAGGATGACAAGGCACACAGGGACCGGGAAAAAATGTTCACTTTATTGAGAGATTCAAATTTACGAGTTTCAAATTATCAAAATATATATTTTTTATTTTTTAATAAGTTTTTAGAGAATTGTTTTAACAAATGTTCGCTAGACAAACCTTTACTCGGATAAAACCCCGGGCGAAGCCGAGTACGTTTTATAAGTTTAAAGAGAATTGTTTTAACAAATGTTCGTTAGACAAACATTCACTCGGGTAAAACCCGGGCGAAGCCGGGCACATCCGCTAGTAGATTATAAAACAAGGTAATAATACCAAATCCAAATAAATAAATAGTGTGTGGATTATAGATTATAAAACAAGGTAATAATACCAAATCCAAATAAATAAATTGTGTGTGTATTATAGATTATAAAACAAGGTATTAAGACCAAATCCAAATAAATAAATAGTGTGTGAATATAGATTATAAAACAAGGTAATAAGACCAAATCCAAATAATCCACACACTATTTATTTTTTTGGATTTTGGTCTTATTACCTTGTTTAATAGGGATGGTAAATTATATATATATATATATATATATAAAAGAGTTATTTTCAATAGAAATATTTAAGGTTTGAAAGGTTGTTTGAAATACATGCATCGGGACGGGTCAGTATATATAGACTATTCGATAATTTATAATTATTCCAGATTTGGTTGGCCAAATACCCATTTTAGAATAATTAAGAATGGGTATTTGACCAATTATGAAATAAATCAAGGAATAGTTGATATTTATTCCAATAGATGGCGCAGGTCATCAGAAACTTTTATTTGCGCGATAAGGAAATGCCTTTTTTTATTTATCCACTTTAACCCAGTACAATTTCACATCTGTACTATTTATTCACATTATATATATGAATAGACATAGAATGTTTCTTCCGTCAAAATATGCGTCAAAACCGGACGCCATCTATTGACCGTCGCCACAAACTAGCGTCCTCGGGTCGCTGACAAAGCCACAACACCAGCTTTGGAAAACTGAGAAGCGTCCACTTAGAGACCATGGTTCGGGCTAATGGCCTTCGTCAACCTATGGCAATGTATGCATGTTCCTTAGGACACGAAGCGCTATTTTTGAATGAAGTTAATAAATTCTTTATTTTTTAGTTTCAAAATGTTTTATCCACATTCTCGGTTTATTCCTATAGCTACACATATATTCCGACTCTTTATACCCATTATTTCTGCAATATAATGTTGTATTAACTGTGTAAAAACCATTAATAAATGATTGAAAATATGCCAAAAAAGCGCGAAACCCATTATTTGTGTATAATTTGCATTTTATAAAATATTCATTTGTGAAAATCCACCTCGAACATTCTAGAACAGACGTATATGAGCTGTTTGCTGAACGCTTGCTGTTAATAAACTCATCAAGGATTTATTTTCTTTGCTTCGCCCTAATTGATATGTCATTATTTAATAGGTATAAGATTTTGAATTCATAGGAAGTGAAACGCCATGTAGTAACATAACAAAATTAGAGACAACAACAAATACTTGTATGCAATTTTTTTCCTTTTTCTCCCACCGCATAGAGAAAACTAAGACATTGACAAAGTTGTTTTCATGTGATCTAAAAGAATATGTAAATTTGGTTTACTGTGCAATTAAAATATACAAGTATCAGAGTCATCAATCAATTCTTAATTGGTAGTTCATTGGTAAAACGCTCGCCTGCCACGCGGTCGGCCCGGGTTCGATTCCCGGCCGATGCATTTTTTTTACACAATTTTTAAAACTCATTTATATATTATACAAGAATGACATCCACGGCGCCCATTTATAATTGTAACGAATAGTATTTGAATAAAAGCATTTAATTGGGTAAAACCCGGGCGTTGCCCGGGTCATTCGGCTAGTAAATTAATAAAGAGAAAACAAACTCTCGAAATATTTGGAGAAAAAATTGCTTTTTTTTTCTTAACAGATCCAGGTACGCCCTTTTGAATAAACTAAGAATTGATATGCCTTGGCTTGTGATTTAGAGAAGCCAAGATGTATTCACACCATCGAGATGAATACGAGCGGTTTCCTGTCAAAGTCTCCATTGAAAGTAGATGTACTGCTGAATATTTCACTGGGCCGGGACATAAATAAGTAAGAGCGGGTGACAGGTTGTCATTATGGTGACACGAGAGATGGTCCGCTGAGATAAAGGCCAGCATATGTTCCTTCTCTAATTAACATCTTTTTTTTACAATTAATAAAGAATCAAGGGTTTGATTTCTTTTCTCATTTCTTTTATTTCTTGAGTTTTCTGGCTATTATGCTTTCAACACGGAGATCCAAAAGTAAAACAGAAGTAACAATTTTGTGTTGAAGGGCATGTTATCCAAAAAGCTCGAGAAATAAAATAAATGAAAAAAGAAATCGAACCCATGATTCTTTATTGATTGTGTAAAATTTGAAAGCAAGGAAGAATCTTCATTCTAACATCTTATTATAATTATTGGACATCTCAAGTAGCCAACGATGTTTTCATTCGTCTTTTTATGCGAATGTTCATTCAAAAAATACTATAATATAATTGTATTTAGCTCAAGATAGTACATGCAATACACGAGACGGTTCAAACCCAGGGTTGGGACAGTATATACCCTCTATTATGAAAGGACAGTTCGAAATTCAGTTCACAACATACCATGGCAACGTTTAGATGTCTTCCACCCTCTTGGGTTTGGATCCAATGCATTATATCAGAGGTAGAAATTTCATTTGAAACCTGCTATAAAAACTAAGTTACAACGCATTTTTTTTTTTCGAATTATATTTTCAACCTGTTTATTTTCGCCTTTTAAAATTTCACCTTAAGTCCTAACGATACTTTAAAGTCCATCACAATCTAACATCTTTGAATCTTAAGACAAAACCTCTTTAGGACCGCTGTGATGTATTAAATTCCTCAAAATATCAGCTCTATCACCAATAGAAAA